GGGCTAAACATTACAGTGTGTGGGGGTTTTTTTTTGGGGGGGGGGGGTTCCTGATTATGTTGACAAATGCATCCTTTACATTGGAAGAAATAAAACATTGTTCAGAGGACTTTTACTTGAGTACAGTTTTTGGCTATTCTGCCCGGTGGGGACTTTAACTTGAACGCACACTAACCCATGAGGACTGTCATCGTGGGAACAAATTCAGGTCTGCACGGGTAGAGACTGCTTTTTGAGGGTTAAAACTTGGTTTTCGGGTTCAGGTTAGGTGTGTAGTTAGGATTAAGGTTGGAAGGGGCTAGGGAATTAGGTCAATGAGACATAAGAGCAAACGCACGTGTTTGTGTGTGGTAAGAAAAAAGACATCCCTGAATGGATCTAGCATATATACGTAGGTTACTAGCTAGTCAATGTGCAAGATCACATTTAGAGCACGTTCTTCTCCTACAGTTGCATATGTTACAGTTGTTGCTTCTTTAATCTGGCTGTACACAGCTTTTAAAATGTAATGTTAATCCTGTTTTCATCATCTGAACGATTGGCAATGCCACACCAAAACTTTGACTTATAACAGCAGGACTAGTTTTTTTTTCTCCATTATGATTAAAGATTTTGCTACGGCCTAATTTAAGTGATGTAACAAACTCCGGTTATTAAAATACTGAAGTAAACAAATTTTTCACTTTCAAGAAACAGGAAAAGCTGTTGTAAGCTATGTTGGGAGACTGCCAAGAAACGGCTAACATATTCAAACAAAAAAATGCAGTTGGATGAAATGATTTGCCATGCTAATTACAGTAATGTGACCGTTACAGAGATCAGATTTTGTGTCAGAGCATTTGACTTATTGATTGCGGTCTGAGTTTATAAAACGTGTTTTGGATTAAGCAAAATTGTTGGGTTTTTTTAAAGGTGTCCAGAGTTAAGTCCAAAGTTTAGGAGCCACTGTTAACTGTAACACTAACGCATTCCATTACCACAATTCAGCCATGTCTTTTCAACGTTAACTCACACCAGTCTTTAAAAATATTGCATTGTGCACATGCCACATGGACGTATGATTAAACATGGACACCGGACCCAAAGATGACGCTTATTCAGTCCAATAATAATGGCACATGCCCCAAAAAGGTTTCTAGCATCTGGGTTTACCTCCGGGACACTGAAAATCACTTTTCTCAACCTGAGAAAAGTTTCACAAATATAAATCCTTCCAGTGATTTAAAAAGTTATAATTGACCTTGTTTGCAGTTCTGTCTGTTCAGCATAGAGGGATAGCTTCTGTCCCTCTTAAATCATGGACAGAGATGGGCCATTTTGCTTTGATATTGTATATCAGGCAACTTCCATTGCATATCATCTGACAGCAGGTGACCTTCAATGATGTTGCACCTTTTTGAATTCATCGATCGGTGCTGATAAGGTAAAGTGAAACTTTTTAACAGTACAGTTGTTACTTTGTGAAAGGTTGACATTGAAATGCACAATTATGTAAACAACTGCCACAACTTCAAAATTAATTTGATCTTTTATCACTGGTGTGCACATTTCATCCAGATTAAATTATTACTATTCAGCTTGACACCCAGGACATTGTAACTGTACATTTAGTTTGGGAAATGATTTCTGTTTGACAGTCTGTCTCTACAGGTCCAGATTACCCCGCCATACACTCATAAGTACAGTCACTTGTGCCCATAACACTGGGGAAGCCTGAAGGAGAGTATTAAGTTAAAACAGAGGCTCAGCCTGTAGGCTACTTTACTTATTTATTTTAAGGGTCACCTCCCTGCAATTTAATAAAACGCCTCCTTGATTCTTCGTGTTTCAAAATGACTAGGGAAAGTGCTGAAAATATTCAGTTACTGCTTTAGAGTGAGGTATATCCTTCTTAATTTCCAGTATATAGCCGCCTTTGCAAGACCTTCTGCATCATTAACACAGTACAATGAATGTCTCACATGCAATGGTCTTTGGTTGGCTTCGCTACGGTGAATGTTAGGGACAACCTGATTAAGAGTGGAGGTATCGAATGCAGAAGCTTACGTGCACCAGTGATTACTATATAGTTTATAAATGATGTGAATAAATTGCTACGGCCTTTAAAGTCAGGAGATCTCAACCCAGTTTCATACCTATGGAAGATTTTTGGTGAGACATGTAAGACACTGCTCTACCACACCATCACAACACAACATCAAATGATATGATATAAACTTTCAAATCAATTTAGTGATGTAAGTGACTGTCCCTGATGATGCATGTCCTTTTGTCTGGGTATATTTGTTTTCCTTTCTATTTTCTATACTCAGGTGGTATATGTAAATTTTATCTTGTGGAGGTATAGTGTTCATCCCTCCAGTAGAGTTCCAAAGAGTTGGCAAGGAGCGCTGAATCTGTTCTGGAGGGCTGTGATGGCCTGACACCATACTAACACACTGTATCTATAGGTAAACTATACTGGGCCTATTGAACAGGTACCTCTCCCACAGACACTCATCAGGGAAGTCCTGTGGATCATTTATGTCTCTGAAGACCCTTGGGGCTGGTGGTGTAAACGCTCTGTGTAGAATCTGAGCATCCACAGGATTGTTGAGGAATGAACATAGTTAGCTGGTTTTAGATGCACTGCTTATACAGTATTGCCTAACCCCATGTCAAATAACCTGTTGGCAGTGAAAGTGGTGAGACTTGATTTTCCTAAATTGTTTATTTTCATTGATACATTATTTGGAACTAATGTAAAGATATACATTCATGTTTGGTCACATTGTGAGAAACAGGTATGAACTTAAATCCGCCATGTAGCCAGAGACATGACTCCAAGTTAATGATAATGTTTGTCCGTAACTGCAAGGTTTGTAAATAAGCAACCAAATCAACTTTAAAGGTGATGATATATCAATGTGTTTAATACTTGTTTTCCGCTGCTCCCAAGAAGAAAGAATCAGCCAAAACAATCAGTTATTGCATGCGGAGTGAAGTCACTGCGGTTTGTTACCCCCAAAATAATACATTTCTAATAGTATACATCAAACTATTCAGAGCCACCTCATTTCATTAAATAAAGAATGAAGCGAGGTGCGAAGTTCAACATTATTATCAGCAAAATTAACTTAAAGAGGTGGTATTATGCTCATTTTCAGGTTCAAAATCCTATTTAGGTGTTGCACCAGAACAGGTTTTTTACCTTATCTGTTTTTATGCAAATTGCTGCAATGATGCAGCTACTCATGCGTTTCCTTAAAGTGGTCATATCATGCTAATTTTGAGGTTCATTTATTTAGGGGTTGTACCAAAATAGGTTTACATGGTTTCATTTTCAAAATTATATTTTACATATTTTTTGTCATACTGCACATTGCACCAACTCCTCTTTTCACCCAGTGAGTTGAACACTTCGTTTTAGCTATGGAGTGATACATCTTGTCTCTAAAGGATCTTTGTTGGGAGTTGCATATGCGCAGTTCCTAGTGAAGGACTACTAGCCAATCAGAAACAGAGAAGGGCGGGCCAATGAGAAGTTAAACACAACTTTGTTTCAGCTGTGCATGTTGTCGACAAGCTTGGCAACATAGACTGGAGCAAGAATGGTGAGTTATTAATCTGTAACAAAAGTATCTTTCATCCATAAAGTTTTAACTGAGCTCTGTCTCTACATCACAGTAACAACTTTATGTTCATTGACTGCCTGGAGGGTAGCTAGTGTTTGGAGGGGAGAGGTGTTTTTCCACCGGTGTTTTTGTGGGCGTGTCCAAGTAGCCGCTTGGCGAGCATTATATGAGGCGCATGTAGCTTTCATCCCTGTGACGTCACAGGGATGGAAGGGAAGCGGCTGGACTACAAACGAGCTGTTTTCAAGCAGTTCAGAGCAGTGTTTTCTGTGGGAGATGGGAACTCCCTTTGGGCTGGACTTTGGGCTTTTTCACTTTGCAAACCTATTACATGCACAAAAAAGGTATATAACTCAAGAAAGGAGAGGGAAAAAGACAAAAACCATAATACCACCTCTTTAAAGTTTCAGAGGTAGAAGTACTTATTATGCAGAATATTGTCTACTGTCAGTGGTATATTGTTATCTTATTAATTATTACTAATGCATAATGCTATTGCAAAATGAAGGCAGCATATTTTTCAACTATTATTAAATTAATCGCCAACTACTTTGAAAATCAATTAATCAGTTTGAATAATTGTTTAAGAGGGAAAAAGTGAATATCTTCTGGTTGTGGGCAAAATAAAACATTTGAGGACGTCATCTTAGGCTTTGAGAAACAGTGATTGACATTTTTCATTTTCTGACATTTTATAGACCAAACAACTAGTTGATTAATCAAGAACATAATCGAAAGAATAATCGCTAATGACAATAATCGTTAAGCCCTAGAATATATCCTCCTGAAATGAGGATGGCAAAATTATGAAGTAGTACTATAGTAAAGTGAGTAAATGTATTAGTTTATTTCCACCTCTAGTAATGTGTATAACATTTAAAGTGCAAATGTAAAAGCACTTGTGCATTGGGTATTTCACAGCTTTGTAATCAGTTTATGACAAAGATGCAGATTAGAACTTGTTTTTTATCAATACACACATTATTTTGGTCTCTTGGTTACTGTCAAGCATTTGGGAGAACGGGAAGAGTGCACAAGGAAATAATCCCCCAATCTTTATTGTCACATTTTTAATTCAGGAACATCAAAGTAGCTTGAACGCAGTTCTCTTCTCACAGTGGGACAAATACAGATAATGTGAATTGGATTTTAAAATTCAAAGAAATAAAAAAGAATCCAATATATACAAATATTATATGCACAGACAACTGGCAGAAGTAAAATTAAAAAGGTTTTAAAAGTAATTGTTGGCTTCCACAGTGACTTGCTTTATCAACAAATGGATTAGCCCATATTGTACATGAGCACATTGCAGTATAAATGCATCACAGGCTTTAAACACCTTTAACTATTAAAAGTAAATATGAAAAAAGCCTGTAAAATGTGTATTTTAATCCTTGCACCCACACCCAAGAGGTTTTAGTGTCTTGACTAGCCAATAAAAAGGTTCCTTGTGTTTGCACATTATAAGTATGAAACAATAAAAAAGAAAAAATCAGGAGTGGGAGGGTTGAAAGGGTGTGGAAAGGAACGGGCAAGCAGAATGATGAGAAATTCATTTAGAAACAGCGAGGGGGGGTTATAAAAGTGTCCTCATCTGCATGTGAAGCATATAAGAGCTACTGTCAATTTGACTAGTCCTCCACATCCTCATATTCACACACAGGGAACATCATAAAAAAACACAGACAAGGAAGAGTCACGGTCAGGTAAGTACCTCTTGATCACCTCAGGACGCAAAACGTTTATGTGTGAATACACAACTCTATGAGCTATTGCCTACATTTTTTAGTGTAGTTCATGAGTATAGTTTATTGTATAGATATAAACCCAGAGAGCATTGGTACTGTGTGTGTGCTGCATGACTTGCCTCAATGGAAGAATACAAAGGAGGCAACTTCAACTGTAGTATAAAAAATCTATAAAAATCGTATAAATAGTATCTGTGTGAGGTTTTCTATGTTTTACAAAAAATGTCTTGCACACAGCATTTTCCTGACTACCTAAACCGATGCTTAAAAATCCATTATCATCTTGATACATCGCTTGTGCACAAAATTTGAGATGACACAAGCATTCTGTTACTTCTTGTGCTGTGATTTTTTAATTGGATTAACTGCTTTGTCATCTTAGCTAACATAATGTCATGCATTGCATATTGCACTTTATACAGAAAAGGAATTGAAGCCTTTTTGTGTCTTTGAAGTATTCTGAAAGCCTGTTCAACGTTTTGATTGTTTTTGGCCTATTAGAAGGGCACAGGACAAAGGTTTGGCTCACAAAGACAATTTGATTGACTGAAAGAGAGGAGGGAAATTGGAAATTAATACTGAAGGTAAAAGCACAGATGATTAACGTGTGAAGTATTGTTGTTTGTGTCACAGATGATTGGTAGGCTAACAAGTTTGAGGAAAACAACTGAGAATATTAGGCAAGGCAAGGCAAGGCAAGGCAATTTTATGTGTGTACCCCATTTCAACAACAAGGCAATTCAGCTCAGTGCTTTGCATGAAAAATTAAAGGCATTAAGAATGAAAACAAAGCAATATAATAACACAATATAAAAAGGCCTATAAATAAGATTTAATTAATAGAAGCAAATTTTAGTCAATCTCTTTAACTCGCCTAGAGCTCTAGCTTTATTTTTTCTCTGTTGAAAATTGCTGAAGATTTTTAGAGAATTTTAAATAAACTCTATATGAATGCTGTTTATGATGATCTTTCAATTACCTTCAGGTTTATCAAATGAAGAGCAAAATGAAGTTGATGATCAGACCCCTTCTTTTCAGTTTGCTCCTGTACTGTGCAACCCAGACATTAGGTAAGCATGTTTGGTTTGCAAGAATTTAACTGACTTCTTGACCTCTGTTAAATTGTTCATATAAAAGATTTTTTCTCACCACTTTTGTTCAATGTAAGCTTTCACTGCTTCAGTTAGCCCTTCAAGTTTCAACTTTCTCCCCCTTTTTCCTAAGGTGTCACGATCCAATCTGTCCCAGAATTCAGCAGTGAGGGTGTTATACAGACAGAGCTGGAGAAGACTGTGTCTCTGGTTTGTCTTGGCAGTGAGACTGAGGACGATGAAGAGTTGGTCTGGCTAAGGAATGGCGCTGCCGTCAGTTGAAGGAAGAAAATAAGAACGGTATCAGCAGAGTGTGTGTTACACCCGTCATCTATGAAGACAATGGTGCCACTTTCACCTGCCACCTGAGCAGAAATAACACAGTTAGGGCCTCGGTCACCCTGAATGTCACATGTGAGTCCCTTCAAATAAATGTCGGATTGACTAATAACATATATATCACTTTCAGGTTTACTGAATTTTCTCATCTAGCATTACCATCAGGTAAAGATTTCTCTTTGTTCAATAATGGTTAATGACCAAATAAACAGCAAAACTAATAACATTCCCAATTCATCTAATAGTTGAGCTATTTCAGTCTGAACCAAAGCAGTGTACCAGCAGACTGACATTGCCAACCACAAAGGCACGCTGTTAGCATGACTATACATGCTGGCTACTAGGTTAGCATACAATTAAACAATTTAAAATAGGTGCACTCAAATCTCTTCTTTATATGAAAGCTGTGCAGCTATCTGAAAATCAATGTTCCTCTTCAGACC